CACTTGTGTGGCCTCAGATTATTATTCCGGAGAGCGCCTCACTTGTCGTGGAACAGGTTCCTTTTACACTCACTAAAGTGGTGTTATCTTGTTAGGAACCGAGACAACTGTCTTTTGGTGCAAAGAGCAGACAGTGTCCCTGGATACTCAGATACAGACTCGAATTGGCTCGCGAAAGAAGGTGAGCTGCCTGAATATCCCCAGAAAAGGGATAAGGGAATTTAGATGCCTAAACACTTAGACAGAGCAGGTTACCCCTCCCGACAATTTCCCTTTCTGGTAATAAAATTAAGCCCCCATCTAGACTATGTATATTGGTAGACAACACTGACACCATACATACATCTAGAAATAGAAATAAACTTTAACTATGAGTTTAAATCAATCATAGGAACGTTTATTAAAATTAAAGTAAAATTCAATCATCTATTTACTTTTGAAAATACATTATTCAAACTAAGTAGGATGAAAGATAAAAATGATAGTAACATGAAACTGTCGTCATGAGAGGATCAGTGGGAAATAACATACAACAATTACCACCTGGAGTTTCCCAGAGGATCATCCATTTCAAAGACTGAGGTGGAATGTTGATCTGTCCCAAGCACCAAGATCTTCCTTAGGGCACTCCAATCATTAGCTACAACCAGCCTGGCAGTGGTTTGGAAGCTCGTCCTGCCACAAGGAATCTGTCCTCGGCTTTTCAGCAGCTAGGGATGGAAACAATCAAAAAATATATAGTCCCTGCTGTTTTGCAAAATAAAATATATTTCCAACTTTCCCCTCTCTCTTCATATTGTCAGAAGTGGGATAATGGTCTAGTAGCCTTGTCATTTACATAGCTTCCACTTCTGACTACTGTCCAGTCCAGATGAATGTCTTCCATCTTCTGTCCTTCAGGATGATAGTGTAATACCACTCATTTACACAGACTCAGACAGCAATATGCAGTTGTAAATGCAACACAAAATCAGACAGAATGTTATAGAATTCTCTCTATAAATGTTGAGAATTCTAGATAAAAGGTCTTGCCTTTCCTGTCTTCCAGATATTCCACTGGGTGTTTTCTTGGACAGCATGTCCTCAAAATCACAGCATTTAATACTGCTGTGTATAAGTAAAATGATACATTAATAACATCATGAATAATACATCAATAACCTGAAAACAAAATTCAGCACTTCTACAACAAGCAAACATTATGAATTATAGAAGTATGAGCATGAGAAGAACAATGTCTCCTATGAAATGTTACCATTGAAATGTTACCATTATCTACACAGACTCTAATAACCAGCCATAGATCATTCATCTACCAGCAATAGAAGATAGATAATTTCCTAAGAGTCTTAGATACAGCAAACAGAAGTAACCTCCTAGATACCGAACAATAGGAATCAGGAATAGATCATAAAGAAATGGTTTCCTGTCCATGTGCAGAAATGGGTCAGCGTGGTTTTTCCTCTGTCTGGTACAATTCTAATATTGTACACGAAATGCGGCCCGAAAACTGAAATCACGATTTAATTAACAGTTACTGTGCTCACCTGGATTTAGATGTAACTATATGGTCATGTTGCTAGGGTTTTTAGGCGGCGAGAAAGACAAAGTTCTGCCAAAACGGCCCGCTCTAACACCTGCTTGCTGACCTGAAGTAAAATGGCTGGCAATCTTGTCTCACTGCGGGATCCGGTGTTTGGCCAGGATTTTTCCGCTACGTTGCCGAGTTACTAGCCGTATATTTTTATACGTGAAAGCTCAGGGGAATTACAAATAAGACAATGGAAAATCCCCAAACAGCAACCGTAGGCTATAACCGGGATATCTCTCAATGCGTCTTATGACGAAAATGAAGTCACTGGGCGCATGTAAGAGGGAAAAATAGAAGGGTCACAAAGGGGTGGTACGTCAGCCAAGTATCTTGTCTACTTTAAGCGGCGTCTCGCGACACCAGCCTTCACCAAGACTTGATTCAAATAACAAAAAACTTGCATCCGACATGGGGACGACTTATATACAATTCCCAAGCGAGCGAGTCACATCATCAGTCTCCCGGCTTTGTTAGAACATCTCTACTTTTGTTACCTGTATCCTTACTGAACGTTGCAGAACCAACCCGAGCACTTTCTGGCTCTTGTGGTTTTTCTAGGCAAATTTACGTCCAGTAGTTTGCTATTGCTTACTGAAGGGTCGGCTCTCGGTACCACGGTCGAAACCATCGCAAGACAAACCGTCCGCAGCAGGGATCGAACCCGGCACCCTGGCATTAAGAAGAGAGTTCGCAACGCCTAAGCCACAGACGTCTACGTTACCTGTATAGACAAGACATTTGCTTGATCTTCCTATCACAGGTCCCTGTCTCGTGTTTGTACACTATCTTCAGTTTTGTCTCACTATCAGGAATTATTTGTGTTACTTTATAAATACTTTATTTGAAAAAAAGTTAGCGGGGTTTCTGAGACTTGTACCCGTTTCATTTTCACAATTGATGTGTTAATTCTACCAACTGTATTCCTAGAAAAGATTAACTACTCACTCTACTCCGTTACATGGTAAGTAAGAAAGTAAAGGACCATTTTCCACGCCTTCAAGACCAAACGGCACAAGATGCGTGATGTGGTCAGCATCACGCTGGCCGCCTTTACTTCCCGGAACTGCACCCGGTACCCAATCAAGGCTTGGTAGACTTTGGGGTCAAGGTCATTTTAAAAAAAAAAGTCTGGCTCCGCCAGGGAGCGAACCCACGACCGATCTTAGGCCACGAATACCGTTACATAATTAGGCACAAAATGTCCATCTGGACTTTTCCCTAGCCCACCAGTTTGCCTGGGAGTTTCGCGTTAATAATGAAACTATCAGGCAGATTGTGGGAACGACACCTTGTACTAGATTCATCGGGAAAGAGCACATCAAGTGGTTCGGCCATCTCGTTAGAATGCATCAAGATCGAATACCATTACAAGCACTACATCTCAGAAGATCAGCTACAAGGGCAAGAGGACGGCCGCGGAAATATCGATCGACAACACTAAAGACACTCTACGCCTTTAAGACATGACAAAAGCCAGTGGCAGCCAACGTGCACTGGATCGCAAATTATTCCTCCCCACGGCGCTTAACGGCAGAAGTGGTTTATGATGATGAGGATCAGTGTGCCGTGGCCCACCGGTTGAAGAACAGTGACGTAGAGGAAACGTGAGATAAGGACGAGAGCACAGACCTAGTTATCAGTGAACACTAAAAGACCAATGTGTGTACTGGGTTCATTCTTTGATCACGGACAATGGGGCCACCGACTCAATAGTATTGTGGTATAAGGTCATCGAAGTAGCAGTTTTTTTAGTATCCAGAAGCCATGAGTTGTTAACCCTTAGGCTCGGTATTATGGATATCGCAACCATTCGGCCTTGATTCCATGATAAATACCGTAAATCTGGGGAAAATGTGGCTTTTCTGCCTAGCCCCAGGCGTGAACCCGGACCACAAGGATTTCGTCACCCGGTCACCGCGCAGTCCGGTTTAGCCAACTACCAGAACTTTTCTAAGCTGCCCTCTCTATCTATCTCCACCTTCCGACCTCACTGTAAGTCCTAACAACTCTCATTTTTCAATTGACTCCATCCTCACTTATGTCAGCTATTTCTTAACCATGTGTGGCCAGAAGAAAAACAGAGGAAACAAATTGACAACAAAAAAAAGCCAAAAAAAAAAAAAAAAAAATAGAAAAGAAAAAGGCTTCAAAAAACCAAAACAAAAAAGGCACTTTAAAAAAAAAATGAGCTCACGCACATACACATTTATAGGGCGAAAACAAAAAGAAAACCAAAAAAGAAGTTAAATAGGGGACCTTGAAAGAGGCCTAGTGTATGGCGGGAAGTTCTCTTCCAGAACTACAGTAGGTAAAATGAGCAGCTCAAGCGTGAGAATCAAAAGGTACATGTGATTTCAACATCACAAGTCTGCATGGTAGCTGAGAAACTGATTATCGCGGACACGAACAGCTGATGGAATTGTCTACTGATGTCAGTTTTGCGTCTAGACGCTAAACCTGATATTTTTCGTATTGCTAACTACAAGTACTATACTAGTATTACTACAGCTGCTGTTACTTCTGCTGCTACTACTACTACTGCTGCTATTACTACTGTTACTAATACTGCTGCTACTGCCACTACTACTACGAATGCTACAACTACTGTTACTTTTGCTACTACGACCACTGCTGATGCTATTACTACTACCACTGTTACTACTAATGCTGTTACTACTACTGCTACCACTACTACTGATGTTGCTACAATTGCTGCATTAGCCACTACTGCTGCTACTACTGTCATTACTACTAACATAATCCCATTACCCTTTTTAATAACTAGTCATTTTATGCCTTTTGTTTTTTAATGTTTCCTTTCTCTCTCTCTCTCTCTCTCTCTCTCTCTCTCTCTCTCTCTCTCTCACTGTCGCTCTCTCTCTCTCTCTGTCTCTCTCACTGTCGCGCTCTCTCTCTCTCTCACTGTCGCTCTCTCTCTCTCTCTCTCACGCTCTCTCTTTCTCACTGTCGCTCTCTCTCTCTCTCTCACGCTCTCTCTCTCACTGTCGCTCTCTCTCTCTCTCACTGTCGCTCTCTCTCTCACACTGTCGCTCTCTCTCTCACTGTCGCGCTCTCTCTCTCACGCTCTCTCTCTCTCTTTCACGCTCTCTCTCTCTCTCTCACTGTCGCTCTCTCTCTCTCACTGTCGCTCTCTCTCTCTCTCTCTCTCTCTCTCTCTCTCTCACGCTCTCTCTCTATCTCACTGTCGCTCTCTCTCTCTCTCACTGTCACTCTCTCTCTCTCACGCTCGCTCTCTCTCACTGTCGCTCTCTCTCTCTCTCTCTCGCTCTCTCTCCCTGCCATTTTGTTAAGGGTGGGGTCCTTGAACCCTTTCCCCTCATCCGACCCATTTCTGCCCCGTCCCCATTTCCAGTTTCTTATGTCTATGTATTGTTTGTTTCTCAAATAGCTGGATCTCCCTCAAAAACAAGCCAACCAAATCGTCAGATAACAAGTATCGAGGCGAGCTGGAGATCAAATTAACCTTCCACTGCCGGAGTCGCACCGACACTATGTCGCGTGGGCTCAAGAAGAGGTCGTCCTCAATTCGAAATCTGGCTTCCGCTTTTGGTAATTATTCCTTGTGGACCTAATTGTTTCCATAGGAACAACGCTAAACATCTTTTTATGCCTGATTGTTTCCACAGAAACAAGGATATAAATATTTTATATCTGATTGTTTCCATGGAAACAAGGATATACACACTCGTACAGCCCACACGTTCAATAGAACAAGATATGCTCGTTAGAGCTGATTGCTAATTTAAGAATCACCATCATAGCACAACGGACATAGATATAGATGCTCCGTCTCCAGCAGAAGATGTCTTAGTGTGCAGATGCAGTAGCAGCAGTAGTAGCAGCAGTATTATGGCAACAACAGCAGCAGATGTAGTAACAGCGACAGTAGTAGTAGTAGTAAGATTAGCAGCAGATGTAGTAGTAACAGTAGCAGCAGCAGTAGTAACCATAGCAGCACTAGTAGTAACACGAGCAGCAGTAGCAGTAACAGAAGCAGCAGTAGTATGGCAACAACAGCAGCAGTAGTGGTAAAGCGACAGTACTAGTAGTAGTAAGGGTAGCAGCAGTAGTAGTTGTAACAGCAGCAGCAGTAGTAACAGTAGCAGCAATAGTAGTAGTATCAGCAGCAGTAACAGCGGCAGCAGTAGTAGTAACATTAGTAGCAGTAGTGGAAAAAGTAGCAGCAATTGTAGTACTAGTAGCAGCAGTAACAGCGGCGGCAGCAGTAGTAGAATTAGCAGCAGTAGTAGTAACAGTATTAGTACCTTCGTCCATTCGATGCTGACTGTTCCAGTAAAATGCTCTTCTAGTAACACCTCAACTGAGTCTACAACCTCTGGCGACCTGGTTCAAGCGTCTGCCCCGTGTTCTGAAGGTTGTGAGCTTGATTTGAGACTTCAGACTTCATCGGCCGGCTTTTTAGTGATGATTTTTGAGAGATCCCACGAGTCGTTGCTGGAGCTTCGAAGTTCGTCCTTTGTTCAACGTGCACGCGGTGTACGGAGAGAAGCTGATATAAATGTTATAAAACCCCGTGCAATGAAGTTAAGCTTATACACATTGGGAACGTTGTACTCTAAATCGAGCTGAAGCTGGATTAATCAAAGACAAATCTTCAGACGGCTGTGGTAGCGAAGTGGCTATCCATCGCCTGCTGATTTGAAGCTCTTCTGTTCGAATCCGTATCCGAAGGATTTTATGTAATGATCTTGGTGTGAGTTAATGTTACTGATTGCAATAGCTGTATGTATACTTTAACAAATGTATTCTATACAATTTTTTTCGAAGTTGTGTCAATTATAGTAGCGGTATGTAGAATAGTGTTCTCTGGGAGGAATTTTCACCACTCATATTTTACTCTACATTTTTCTTCTTCCTCTTCTTCTTCTTTCTGTCTTTCTTTCTTTTTTTCTTCCTTTCTGTCGTTTTTTTATCGGGCTGTAAACTCTGGAGGAAGGTTTTGATTGTTCGTCCACTTCTGGACTTTGGTTTTCTTCCAGAATTTGAGTTTTGTTTGCACATCCATTGTACAGATCTGGCAAATCTGTGTGCAGGTTGGTCGTTCTTTGCCTCCCTAGTAGATGCACTGATACCTGGAAATAAACACCCCTAATTAGTTGCCCTTTCCGACATGCTTGTTGGGGGAAGTGGGTCCATTCTTCCATACCTTTCGATTGGGACCGGGAACCCACACCGCAGCAGAGTATTTCTACTCCATAAAGTAGTCACCAGAAAGAAATAGAAACCATTTGCGCTGTGACAAACACCAGACATGCTAATAGAAAAATGACGAGAGGCCGGTAACCACCGACTTGATGGTAACATGTCTGCAGTAATGCATGTACACCTTCCTGTTTGTCGTAACTGTTGCTTCCATCAACTACGAAAAGCAATTGTCGTGACAGATTGTGGGCTTTGGCATCTCTGGCAACTACCTTACGTATTTAAATAGAATGCCTTGTGTTGGATTTGGTCTTTTTGCTTTATCACATAGGACAAAGATCGACATTTTGTGGGTGTTTCACTTGCAGAGGAGCAGAGCAATTATGGATTAACCCATTTGCGATCAATCTGGATGGTGTTAAACTATCAGCCTCATATTTCATATGAAATGCTTTTTGGCTATGCCCAAGTTTATGTGTGTTGTGATTTTTAAAATTAAAAAAATGCACTTGGCCTGCTGCTATATAACTGATTCTGGCTTATTCAGTAATTGGGTGTGCAGCTATTGATTTGCAGTGCTTTTGTTGCCTTTAACTAACTAACCAGCTTTTCATCATCCCGAGATCTTTAACATAATTTATTATTACAATTTATATTCGAAAGTTTTCTTTAGGTTTTGTCGAATTTTCTGAGTGTGTTTATAGATATATTTGTACGCTTTCAGGTGACAAATTCAAACTGTCACGGAGTCGCTCTTACCGGGACGTGCGTGAAAACCACAGAGACACCGAGGTTTTTAAGATGGACAAAAGCCGGACGTTTGACGGCAAGGAGTTCACCTCGTCACGTGAGGGACAGGACGTAAGTGACTGCCTTTTCAACAACTGGGTCTCTACAGCAACAGCTACTATTAATACAGTTGCTGCTGCTACTACAAATACTGCTACTGCTACGAATTCTACTACTACTACTACAAATATTACTACTACTACTACAGCTGCTACTACTACTACTCCTACTAAGACAGCTGCTGCTACTACTGCTACTGCTGCTGCTACTACTATTACAGCTGCTGCTACTACTACTTCAGTTGTGGTTTGCAGCTAGGCTGCGATATCTGCTCTTTTCAGCCCAGCATACCTGATCTCATCAAACTGGTAATTAGCCACCTTTTACAAAACGCTTGTTAGGAACAGTCAGTGTGTTCTTCTCTTATCTCACTTTGTCTTATCTATCTATCTATCTATCTATCTATCTATCTATCTATCTATCTATCTATCTATCTATCTATCTATCTATCTATCTATCTATCTATCTATCTATCTATCTATCTATCTATCTATCTATCTATCTATCTATCTATCTATCTGTCTGTCTGTCTGTCTGTCTGTCTGTCTGTCTGTCTGTCTGTCTGTCTGTCTGTCTGTCTGTCTGTCTGTCTGTCTGTCTGTCTGTCTGTCTGTCTGTCTGTCTGTCTGTCTGTCTGTCTGTCTGTCTGTCTGCCTGCCTGCCTGTCTGCCTGCCTGCCTGCCTGCCTGCCTGCCTGCCTGCCTGCCTGCCTGCCTGCCTGCCTGCCTGCCTGCCTGCCTGGCTGGCTGGCTGGCTGATTGTGTGGCTGACTGTCTGTCACACACGCACATATACAGATACACACACTTATTATATTTTTAACTTTTTGTTTTAATCACTAAATCATGTTTTTTACAGTGGAATATAAAATACTCAATGTGCATTACACAACTGTAACATAATTTGTAAATACGTTGTATGTTCTTTCTCTTAGGGCCACTCAGCATTATGTGTGTACCCCTACACACACCCACACACCAACCCTCCTGTCCACTTCTCGGCCCTGGACATCAACAGAGCTCCCTGGGGGATCGACCCAAATTCTCCGGTGTGTATTATGTTGGCTTGGACTGTGAGCCTTGTGAAGTTGGCCTACGTTTGACTGTTTCATTTCTAGCCTACCGTGAATCATGCGTGTATTGTTTGCTGTTCCGCCTACAGAAGTGTTGGTTATGTTGTTGAGTGTTTTATTTGTTCATTATAAAACATCAGGTTTATTGTTTCGTTTTACTCTTGTGCTAGTAGGCACAAATGGGTTATATTTTTCACTGTTTCATTTGGAACCTACAGCTGAGGTGAGATCAATTAAGAACCTAATCATATCACTGGGGAAATTCCCATAAACACTCCGTCTCCATCTTCAGCAGCCAGTGCCTCCTCCCTTTTTGTATAAAACCACTAGCACTCTGATTGCATTTCCGTCTTGCTTTTCCTCTGAATGTTGAATCCCCCGGTCACTGCACACTGCACCATTTCTCTAGCCGTGATGATCTATATATCTGTACTTCTACAATGTTCACCTGCTGCCAGAGAGCCTTGACTACCTACAGCTTGTCATGCATCAATTTACCACCAGGTGGTGTAGAGCCAGCCGGCCATTCTGCCTGTATCGTTTCCCATCACACCTACACAACAGCTACTGACCAGTAAAAAGTACCCTAGAACTCTGAATCAGTGCTTGCCCCCTGAACAGATCATGCCTGTCTCCTTCTGCTTTGTGAGCCTGTTACAGTCTTTATCTATATATACAGCTGGTTCTCAAGCTATCAAAAAGATGCAGTAACTTTCTCTTTGTCTACAGTCCCCCCCCCCCCCTCCACCCCACTTCCCTCACGGATAGTGTCCGGAACCCACACGGGAAGATCCACCCAGTCTAAAAGGGTAACACACAAAAATGTCATGGAAAGTAAAGCCACGTAGCGCTTGAAGTGCGAATTGGTCTATCTGGTAATCTGGTAATCTTAGTTTTAGCTTCATAGCAAACAGGTCACCCCATAGTTGCTCCGCTCCTGTGCCAACGAAAAACAAACGTAGCTCACAGTGTCGCGCCATGACCTCAAGTCAGAAGCTGGGCGACGAAACTATATCCTTACAGTCTACAAATGGAGCAAAAATGCAACGGCCACCGCCTGGCAGAAGCAAAAAAAAATTCGCAACGGCTAAAAAAACAAAAAAGTGGCCGTGCCTAGCGTCCATTTTGACCTGAAGCATTATATGAGGGTTAATAAATGGTCGCCCCAGCAGTACCCTCACTATTAGCTGGGAAAAGGACTTAGGACATTATATCCACCAGCAGGCGTCGCCCCTACAACGACCTGACTGCCTTCGTTAACGACTGTTCACCCAACAGCCATGCAGTTCTTTGGCACAAAGGAG